CAAAGTCCACGAGTTACGACCAAACTGACCAAGTACAACAAAGTGACAAAGTCCACGAGTTACGACCACACTGATCAAGTACAGCAAAGTGACAAAGTCCACGAGTTACGACCAAGCTGACCAAGTACAGCAAAGTGACAAAGTCCACGAGTTACGACCAAACTGACCAAGTACAGCAAAGTGACAAAGTCCACGAGTTACGACCACACTGACCAAGTACAGCAAAGTGACAAAGTCCACGAGTTACGACCAAACTGACCAAGTACAGCAAAGTGACAAAGTCCACGAGTTACGACCAAACTGACCAAGTACAACAAAGTGACAAAGTCCACGAGTTACGACCACACTGACCAAGTACGGCAAAGTGACAAAGTCCACGAGTTACGACCAAACTGACCAAGTACAGCAGAGTGACAAAGTCCACGAGTTACGACCCCACTGATCAAGTACAGCAGAGTGACAAAGTCCACGAGTTACGACCACACTGACCAAGTACGGCAAAGTCACAAAGTCCACGAGTTACGACCAAACTGACCAAGTACAGCAAAATGACAAAGTCCACGAGTTACGACCAAACTGACCAAGTACAGCAAAGAGACATAGATAGTTGTGGAGAATTATGCAAATACTGACGTATTTTTAGTTGTAAGGAAGAATTCCGAATTGTTTTATATACCTCTCACCAGGTGTCATTACCTTCACAAACCGTGATTTACACTACCGACTGTTTTTAATACATTATCTAATACCAAAATGTAAAACAGGTAATTCGTTTCTTTTTTAGTGTTGTAAGCTGTCGTTATAACGTCTGTGGACTCGAGAGCAATCGCGTGAGAACACAATAATCAAATACTTTACGTACGCGAATAAATAGAGAAACTAGCAACGTGTGTGGGAGGGTCAGTCAGGGGTCCAAGGTCTGGTCTAAGCTCGGTGCCAAAACATGTTTCACTGAATAATTTAGGGGCGTATAACTCTAGATTTCAGGGTTTCATCCACGCAAAGAACGCAGTCTACTGTGCAGCTTCGTGCTAAAATAACTAAACACACTGTTATTAGTTATGTTTTTACAAATATCTACAGTAAATAACTGACGTTTACATAAACATGAATATTCATTAATTTTATTCGAAATCAAATATAACGGCACGTGAACAGAAGTGGCCTGGTCACGTTTTTACCACTAATACATGACTGGTGTGCAATAACTACAGAATATATATATTAAATATATACCAAAGACGTTTTTATTGAATTTCGCGCAGATGTACCCGATGTCCATCTGCACTAGTTGTCCGTAATTTTGAAGTGACAGAGTAGATGGAAAGCTGCTGGTCAATACCACCCATCGCCAACGCTTGAATTACTCTTTATTAATGAATAATGGGATTGACCGTGAGATTATAATGCCCAATGGCTGAAAGAAGAACATGGTCAGCGAAGGGTTTCGATTCCGTAACCTACAGATTGTGAGTTGAAAGCCTTAACCACCAGGCCTATCTCGCATGTTAACTTCGCAATTCTTTGCCCTCATCAAAATGGCAGATTTATATTCCATGATTTTTATCAATACACTGTTTTTGTAGGAATGTTCAAAGAACTCCAGTTACTGAAGGATCATACATTCAAAATCACAAAAAAAAAAAATAATCGTCACGTTGAAAAATGTCCCTTTTCTTCAGTTTTTTGCATTACCACGTGTAATTGACCTACCCAGCGGTTTTTTTTAAAAGTTCTATTCTTATAACTTTGTCCCCAGGGGGAGGGGGGCTAAAGGACCGTGTGATTTCGTACGTTCTGACAACAAATGTGCAATAGTGTAGAGGACCATTATTTTAGATGAATTAATTGTTTCAAAACCTAAAAACTGAGGGGTGTGGTGGTTAGGCGCTCGACTCGCAATCTGAAGGTCGTGGGTTCGAATTCCTGTTACCGAACTTGCTCACCATTTCGGTCAATCCCACTATTCGTTGGTTAAAAAAAAAAAGAGTAGCGGTGTTGACTAGCTACCTTCCCTCTAGTCTATCACTGCTAAATTAGGAACAGCTAGACCAGATATCCCTCGTGTAGCTTTGCGCAAAATTCAAATCAAAACCTAAAAAATTGATAAAATGGAAAGGCTTAGCTCTCTGTTATAATAACGTCACAGAATTCTTCAGTTATCTTGTTCAAATAAAGTTAGAATAATCAAAAGACACAACTAAATGAAGGGAGATGGAATTGAAGTTTATTTAATAAGATGTGACGTGGATGGAAATGTACAGTTTAGAACAATCATTGCACCGTTAGTACAAGAAACGAAAACCACTGTCACAATCCATAAAGTAAACGATCTTCAATCGGAACTGCAGGTAGTAAACAGCCCAAGCAGTTAAATAAAATACTCTAACTTTGTCTCTTTGGTTTTCAACAAATTTTTCTACGTTAACAAGACATTCGATGAACGATAAATTCGTTAGATAAAAACAGAAACCACAGTTATGCTTGGAATCACGACTGTAAAAATCAGCGATACGCCATTCACCGTTCAGTACAATAGTTGCTTTGGAACAGCATCGTTGCCCTCTAGCGGTAATAATATGCAATAACGGGGTCTTACTAGGCAATCGGTTATTGGAGAATAAAAAGCAATAATGTATATATTAGAAAAGCTTGAATTTTACGAAATATTTCGCATTTTTTTTTATTAGAACATTGAGTCTGCTTACTACTATTTCATTTAGAGGTAAGTGAAATGCAAACTGTTTGTCATTTTGCCTTTTTAACATATTATCTTTGCTTTCCGCTAGAGGGCACCTGAAAATTCAGAATAAAACAAAGAGATCGAATTTTTTTTAATAAACTACGACAGCACAGATATTTCTGCATGAGCACCGTGTTCTCTAATATCAAGAAAGACAGACGATAGTTGACAAATTATAGTATCCTTACAAACTTAAAATATAACTAATCAACCATTAGAGTACTTTTCTCTAACTGTTATTTTGACTAATTGGGAATTAATAACACGAATCAAAAATATAACAATTCTTCGTTGGTAGTTACTTAAAATTAACATCTCTTTAATTATGTTTAAAAAAAAACTCAACTATCAATCTTAATTAACTTGTCCACGCAGAGAAAAACCTCGTCATTTTTTTTGCTTTTTTCAGTTCTGGAACTCTTCTGTGTTGAATATTTAATTCCAGCTAGGATTACTGAAGTCGGCTATTAAAAAAAAACTATAAAACGTACTTGTGTATACAGTAAAAGATTAAACTCGAAACACTCTCTAATCAAAAAAGTACTTCCTCATTCGAGTTCGAAGATGAACTAACGTTTAGGTAAATGTGTATAATATATATTTATAATTATGCATGTGTGTATATATATATATATGTATATACATACACACACACACACAACCAGCTACTTAAACGGTTTAAATTGCGACAGTATCGCTTTCACTAAGAGTTCCTGTCCATGAAAGAGGGTGGCGCCCTCTAGTTACGCAGATCGATGTGTATTTCGGCACAAAATCACTTGATCTTCTCACGGCTCTCCTTGGCACGTGATCCCGAGGCTACACTTGATTCTTTGGTTTTATATGTCTATCACTGTTTCCAAGCTTCACTGGAAAAGGCACGCCGCACACCAAGACCTTTTCTCTTTTGTTAAGTTCAAAACCCAATCTTACGTCACCAGCTTATAATCCAGAGCGCACCCTAATGGTGTAAGCTCACCACTTACATTAGTCGTTGTTTATGAACGTGCTAAAACTCGATAACGTAAAAGAACATGGAAAAAGGCAAAAAAACAACAACAACCAAGATCACGTGCTGTATAACCTGCTTGTCTATTAGATGTTCTGGATTTTTAACGTTACTTTTGACAAACTTGATAGGGGTGTGAAAAATACATTAACATCTAAACCACACACACATTAATACAGAAAGATATTTTTAAAGTTTTTTTTTTATAATACATGAAAAATTTCGATAAGAAAACAAAAACACACCCGCTTCTAAGTTCTATTTTAAAGCACCTGCAACATTAGAAACTTTGAATGAACATTCCGGAGGTTAGTTAAGGACGTTTTTCTTCAGTACAGTAATCACTTTGTCTTACCTCTTCCATAGCCTGGAAACACAATATTTGAACTTAGGAAACGTGGAACGTTTTGGAAACATAACATAAATCAGAAACAAAGTTCTAGAACATGCAACACTAACACTAGAAAAGAAAGCTGGGATTCGTGGTAATTTCCACATTGGTTTTTATATCTGTAAACCAATGATAGCCACACCAGGAATTGGCCTATATTCACTACAAACGCACAAGTTATTATCAGAAGAAAATGTAGGCCTAAGGAGGTTGAGCTGAATGTCTGGTAACTAGCAAGTTTAGGCCTATCACACTGCCGTTTCCACGCTGTGGTTTGACGCGCCATCTGCATTTTCCAAGTTTTTCGTATCGTTTTTTCTGTCCGACGATTCCCCTTCCTCCTCGATGGTTTGAATAGTTCCTCGTTTCGATTCTTCTCTCTCGATGTTTTTTAGGCTGCTTTCGATGGCTTCCGAGGAGATGGAAGACGAACGTTTCTCTGCGAGCCTCTTTAGAATGGCGGGATTATTCCGAGCGTCAATACCACTGCGGAAAGCGTTTACAACTCGAATCTGTAGAGAGAGAGAGAGGTTCAAGAGGTAGACGTGAGTAAAGAAATATCATTAGATCAGATACAGAAACGAGTTGAAGCTAAGAGATTTTATCTACGAACCCTTTTCTAGGCCTATATGGTTTTTAAGACATTACCACCATCTTATTATATACGTTTTCAAAACAAGGCTATTCGCTTATTTACAGCAGAGAAACTCGTTTTCAAATTTGGCAGTCCGCAGCGCCATCACTTATTGTAATAGTATGACATTTTAAAAAGTTTTGTGTAGTACTTAAACTAAAAAGTTTTTATTTAAATAAAAATTTTAATCCTATTGTAATGCTGCATTTTTCAACTTCACAGAACAAATTAGTGGTAGTTATATAAGGAATGACACCATTCTGTTTTAATGAAAAGCATAAAAGTTACTCTATTTAACCACCAGGTGTACGTCTTAGTAAGATACCAGTCTGATTGTTTCGTAACATGAGTATTATTATGTAACTCTCAATTTGTAAATATGAGGCTAACGTCATTTTGTTTTAGGTGGCGAACACTATTTTCATTTTCTTTTGATTAGGTATAAGAACAGATAGTGAGGGGGAGCCTTGTTGTTACAATTATTTAAGTAAACTACATTCATAAAAATGTGTATGTTTAACAAGATGATATAATATCGACACTTACTGGCTATTTAACAGTGAAGTTGAGCTTATATATTTGGTAAAATAGTTTGGTGTAATAGTATCGATATTGGTTATATAATAAGTGGGGTACATTTCGTGTATTTATTAAAATTAGCTTGATTGAGTACGTAATAAAACGACTTTGGGGCCTTATCACATATTTTCGTTTCGTCAAGGATTACCTGATCATCCTGGATCTTAACAATGGCCTTACATTGTAGCTATTATTGCAAAAGGCTACGTTCTAAGGATGTCATGTCTAAAGCTCACTCCTCCTCCCTGATGACTTTCCATAAACCACAAAATTTACGAGAATGACAGTCTTCTTGCGCCCATTTCATCAGTCCGATCGAATAGAAATCCATAGACGTGATTGGCCAATATGTCTTCGTATGGAACATCATGAATAAACATTTCATTCTCCAGCTGCTTAACGTATACGACGTTTCGCCAGATATGTTGTGAAAGCAACTTGTATACACGTGACTTCTGTTGCTTTTCCAGATTCTTACTGTTGCCTGGGGTGCGTGGACGATTTTTTTCCACTGGCCTTTGTGTTCGGGGATTGTCACTTGTTGCAATACAATTTACCACGTCTGGGGTACGACTTGCTTCAGGTCTTTTTCTGGATGCACCAACTAAATCTAATTTTCTTTATTGCCATTAAATACATAGGATATTGTAAATTCTGAATGCACGACCTGAACGCGTATTTGTAATCTAGCGATATTAAAATCTTGGGTCGGAAGGAGCTGTTACACATCCCTCCCCTACGAAAGAAATGTTAAAATGTAGTTTTGATACATTCCGTTTCATCGCAACTTTATATCGGCTGTGGTTGTCATGTGACTTGCATTTCGAAAATCGTTTTAATATAATCTACTAAACCTCGTGTAGTTTCTATATTATACATAATAATAATAGTTAAACGTATACAAACTATTAGATTTACTCTACACCAGGTGGCTTAACGTTTCTGTATAATAGAAAGTATTGATCAGTTGAAAGCCAAACTTTATCACATCTTTCATCGTCATGTATTATAAAAATCACAATCGTTCAATTACTTAATCTCGAATATTCTAAGGTCCTGTTAGGAATACGTTTCCAACTTGGTACCTGTTACGGTTTTTATTAAGCTTGTAATTATTCGTTCAATAAAAAGAAAAGATCTGATTGCATCCACGTGTTCTCAAGCTTATGAAGAGTTCATTCAAATCGTACAGTCTGACCAACACAACAAGTTGGTTCAAATCGTCCAGTCTGACCAACACAACAAGTTGATTCAAATCGTCCAGTCTGACCAACACAACAAGTTGATTCAAATCGTCCGGTCTGACCAACACAACAAGTTGGTTCAAATGGTCCAGTCTGACCAACACAAGAAGCTGGTTCAAATCGTCCAGTCTGACCAACACAACAAGCTGGTTCAAATCGTCCGCTTTGACCAACACAAGTTGATTCAAATCGTCTGCTCTGACCAATATAACGAGTTGATTCAAGTCATCTACTCTGACCAATACAAGTTGATTCAAATCGTCCAGTCTGACCAACACAACAAGTTGGTTCAAATCGTCCAGTCTGACCAACACAACAAGTTGGTTCAAATCGTCCAGTCTGACCAACACAACAAGTTGATTCAAATCGTCCAGTCTGACCAACACAACAAGTTGAATCAAATCGTCCAGTCTGACCAACACAACAAGTTGATTCAAATCGTCCAGTCTGACCAACACAACAAGTTGATTCAAATCGTCCAGTCTGATCAACACAACAAGTTGATTCAAATCGTCCACTTTGACCAACACAAGTTGATTCAAATCGTCCGCTCTGACCAATACAATGAGTTGATTCAAATCGTCCGCTCTCACCAATACAATGAGTTGATTCAAATCGTTCGCTCTGACCAATACATATATACAGGGCTACAGAGATAATAGTCACGGTCCAATACAAATATAGGGCTACAGAGATGATAGTTACGGTCCAATACAAATATAGGGCTACAGAGATGATAGTCACGGTCCAATACAAATATAGGGTTACAGAGATAATAGTCACGGTCCTATACAAATATAGGGCTACAGAGATAATAGTCACGGTCCTATACAAATATAGGGCTACAGAGATGATAGTTACGGTCCAATACAAATATAAGGCTACAGAGATGATAGTTA